AATATTTATTCGACTCAAATTATCTGGCCTTTTCGTTTTATTCGCAACCTTCTTAAATGTTTCCTTTGTATCCTATTCTCATTTTTATGGATATTATTATATGTGGCAAACTTTATTTGGGCTGCCAAGTCCTATGGTAGAGGGCTCTGGACCAACTACGCTATTCTAGGTCTCTGGCGCTATGACCGATTTGTGAACATGAGATCACACCAACCTAATGTAGCGAATGAAAGAAGACCGCAACCAAATTAAATGAAGTCACCTTGAGTTAATTTTCGTAACTCATATAAATAAGTACTCGGTAAGATAAACTCAATTTTACGTCATTTTACACTAATCATATCCTCTTATGGTGCCACGCCAGGCAGATTTTAGTGAATAAAGCTGTGTTGATCCCTCTGGGTAATCTTATTCTCCATGTACATTCTCGTTCTTATACCGCTTAGCTCCTTATTCCCACCACCGCATGTATGCAGCAACAGATTTCCAGCCTTATCATCGCTAAATTTAAATCGTGACTCCAAACCATTATGATTATCTGTGAGGATGAAGTTAATGTAATTGTGTAGAAAAGTTGGGTTAATGTAGGCCTTAGTTTGATGGCAGTATCCGTTTGCTTTATAGAATTGGGCTAAATAAAAATAAAAAAATATATATCGGCTCTAGCCCATGGTCTTCTTGACTTAATGCTAACTTGAGATTTTTGCTCGGATGATGTTCGTCATATGGCGAGTATAAGATCAGCCCGTTTTCACTCGAAACGAGGGGGGATGTCTCGTGGACTTCGTTAATCTAAAGGCTGTATTAAAGCCAAACGGCTGCAGTACAACGGGAATCAGCCGTCTTCTGCTGATATCTACCCACGAATCATCATCCATTTTTGTACGAAATGAAAGTCCTCACGACAATAGATTAAATCTATCCTGAATTTTCCCTTTAAGGGAACAGTTGGTTAGAACGGATTTGTGAATTGGCATCACCGGAAGCAGAAAGATGATTGCCGTGTTGGATTTTGTGGAGAAGTCCTCTATTCACCGTCTAGTCAGTAATATGATGCTTATACATGGACTAACTTTTTTCGACTTTCCTTAAATGCATCCATAATTTCTCTCATATATGCAGAAGCTAACGAGTTATGCCTTTTTCTACTGATTTTTTACAGCTCTACTAGCGAATCTATTTATGATGAGTTGGAGATACTGCTTAATTTCTATATAGAGTCTCATTATCATTCAATAGGCGGTCTCACCCATGTTGGGCCATATTTTTTACTTTGAGTATGTCTTACAAGCACCCCAAGCAAGATTTGGAACGTAAATTGAAGTAAACTACTCAGCCCCTAAGCAACATTTTAGTAAAAGTTATTTGACCTCGTTTTCGCAACTTGGTCATATTGGTAGGAAGACTTAGAGGAACGCACCTAGTCCATTGTATGCATGATCATTTACAAAGTCGGACCGAGGACCGTACATACAATGGAATCCGGACTAGTTGCCTTCTTCTAAGTCTTCCTACCAATACAACCAAGTTGCGAAAACGAAGTCAAACAACTTCTATACATCGAAAGGAGACTGCAACCACCCAAAAGGCCACACCATCTTGGTCTTCATACCTTCGTTTAAACGTTATATTTAACCTATTATATGGGATGTATTCACCCTATTTCGTTTAAGTTAATGAAGGACTGGTAGTAGAATTTTCCCACAATGATATGAGTAGAGCTGACATTTCCATTGAATTTTGTTTTCCGAAAAGTTGTTCTCACTTAGGGTAGATTGCAGTTTCGACCCCAGCGGGAGTCGAACCGTGACAGGGCAGCATGTGAGCTTGACGCTTTAACCACTCGGCTATGTTGCTACGAGTGCCTTTGGGTTACAAGGGCAGATGTGAATTTCAAGGAAGGCCAGACCTTTTACCATATCATATTCTTTGGTGGGATTGTCGATAAAGCAAACCTTTTTTCACTATAACGATCGGCTACGTTACTCATTTTTCTTTACCTATTTTATTTTACGAAAAATGAACCTATTATGCTGCATAATAGGCATTACCTTCAAAGCAAACCAAGCCCCTCTCAATTCATATCATTTTGTAAGGAAAATGTCTCCGCCAGTAGTGGGAGATTATAGACTTACTTAGTCTTGAAATTGCTACACAATGAGGCCAGGGCAGTGTGGTTTAGTTGTTGTCCTTCGACGAGCACATTTCCAGTTCTAATCCCACCAGGCATGCCGATGAAGGTTAGGTGCATTCGAGGCTACAGTCCAGCTTGGATGAAAAATGTCCATTGGGGCATAGGGCGAAGTGAAATTCCGTTCAGCAATCGAGCATTCCCATTAATTCATCATGGGAAAACCCGCTTTTAGTCCAAAAACTAGCTTGTCTAAACTTATGCACTTTACCAACTCCCTAAGTCTCCTCTCAATCACTTACTCATTTGTTAAAACCAACGACATCTAAGACATGTATAAAACTGCTTCTCCAAAAATTCTTAAAAGAATAATGTTAGAGAAGCTTTCTTTTTGTTTTAAGAGTAGATTGGTCTTTGTGCCTAGTGAATTATCATAAAGCATGTTGTCCTGCCCTGACGATGTCTGCCACATGACGAATGAGAGCTCAACAAGGATTAATCAGGGTTGCGGAACAATGAGCCTAGGACTTATTCGCACGAATCAACAGTCACAGCTCCAAGGCAAGCTTACGAAGTTATGAGATGTATTCACCATATCTCGTTTAAGTTGATAAGGCGGCTTGTAGTTGAATTTTCCCATATCGGTGTGATAATACCCTACGTTTCTATAAAATTTCACATAACTTGCTTTTCCAAAAGGTATTTTTATCTTAGCTGGACTGGACTACAGTTTTGATCTCGCCCATATCTCATCAGCATTCATAGTGTGGCTCTCATATATATGGTCTTTTGGTAGTCTCGAAACCTAAATATAAAAACAAAAAAATAAGTTATATAGTCGATTGCTATAGCGAATTCAACTTTGTTTCATCGACACTCCCACTACGGAGTGTGATATGGGAAAATGTCCGGTCTTCCTTGAACTTCACATCTTTCCTGTGACCCAAGGACATTCGTGGCAGTCTAATGTAGTGGTTAACGTTTCGAGATTGCATGCTGCACTGTCATGGTTTGCGTCTCGCTGGGAGTGTTAAGAAAGCCGAGGCGAGGTCGAAATTGCAGTCCGCTCTGGATGAGAATTTCTTTTGGGGAGTAAAGCTGTGTGAAATTCACAGGAAGGTTAAGGTTTCTTTATATGATGGTGTGAAAATTTAACTACCAGTCCCCTTATCATCTGAAACGGAATAGGCTGAATACATGTCATTTATATGAACTACTGGTAGTCTCACAAACCTACTTAAAAACGAAAAACAAATCACTCGCCTCTTCAAACTAAATGAAAGGTACTCCTAATTAAAGGACCGTCTGTTGCATATGATCCATGCTTCGAGACCTGATTTTTCACCGATTAGATTATTAATGACTGGAAGATGTGGTGCCGAAGGGTATAAAAATCAGAAATACTAAAAAGCCTTTTCGGAATACAAAGCGATGTGAGATTCAGTGGAAACATCAGCTCTACTCATAGTATTGTGAGAAAATTCAAATGCCAGTACTTCATCAACTTAAATGAACTAAGGTAAATAGATATCATATAAATGATTTATTGGTAGTTTTAAAACCCAACTTATGAACGAAAAATAATTGGCTGTATGCCTGTTTATGATGAGAATGCAAAAAGCAAGAGGGATGGAGATTATTGATCTGGAGTGGGATAAAAAAATTTTTTTGCTGGAGTTGCTTTGGCAACGCAGAGCAGGGGTCGAGTGGAATGCTTTAACCAGGGAGCTAGCAGACGGATCCTATAGGGCAAGAGGGAGACTGATAAGACCTATGGAAGGAGGACAACGTAACAATAGAGCATACTCTGATCAACATTCCCAGCATAAGGGTGAAGAGGGATGAAGAGAGTGAGAAAGCCAGCGTGGAATGTGGAGAGTTCTCATTAAAGCTGCTAAAAATGGCACACCATACCACATTTAAATAAGCGAGTAAGATAGTGAAGTCGTGATGTGAGGATATATGATCGGTGATTAGACCAGGGCGGAAGGAGGGATACCACGATTTTTTAGCAGACAATTGGTCAAAGGATCGGCTTCACTTGTAGTGTGTTGCTAAGACTGGCAATGCTCACTTACGATGCCTGCTACGATGCCGGCGAAACTTCTAGAAATCTACCACGTCCATGGTCTGACTTTGGAAATTATCATACATGCAATTTGTTCCGTTATTTATCATTTGCCTGATTTCCCCTTATTATTCGTTTTGTTTCGCTTTTTTCGCAATTTTTACCGTTTCTAAATGTATGATGTTATATTCCTGTGCAAACTAGTTGTTTCATTTAATCACTTCACATGTATTGAGTAAAAAGGAGCTTTATCATCATCATAAATGTGGGAAACCTTTTCCTAGCTCCTACACTAGACAATTGAAATATCAACTAATTGTATCCTAATTATTTTCATTCCTCTGACAACCCCCCCAGAATTCTCAACCCCTTAATCATTACGGTTTTCGGACATTAGTAATGATTCGATGAGGATTCTAGCATATTTTCTAAACTGGATATCTTATTGAATAGCTTCTTTTAGCACCCATCTTCAGTACATTTTGCCTTCATATCCAAGATAGGAAGCATCCCAGCTTCCTTGGTCCATATTTTTACTCTTCTTTTTCCTTTTAGATCTCTCTCTAAACACGATCAAATTATGAAAACGACATTAACGTTATTGCTATTCATATATTCAAAGATCCTTTTGAATTTATTATTTATTATATGTTCTCTGACGATTTTCTTCAATCCTTCATTTACATATACTTTCTAGTAATTTCCTTCGTTTCTTTTTTGTCTGACTCATAAAGTCGGCCAACCGAACGCTGAATATCCTCCATCTACCAACATATTTGCCAATCTTAATCGTTTTGAGTCATGTCTGCTGGAATTCGAGCTTCATTTCCTCTATCGAGGCCCGCCTACACATGCGACCTCGGGCGCAAATATGCTTATGCCCCTACAACTAGCACCACCACAAGCATATTTTCCTCAGATTTCGCATTCACCAGTGTCACACCCATCGGAGTCGCCAAGCGCTATCAAGTCGAGGACCATCTCTCTTCCAGAATTCCGTTTCCGATTAGCTAGAATTATACGTATCCTAAATGAATGTGAAGCTGGTGAAGGGCTGTCCTTTCATAATCCAGATATTCAGGTTGGTGCGACGATTGCTATCATTTTTCGCAAATTCTCTATTTTTATTCCAGATTTACCGAACTCTAATTCCATTCTAAGTCCATCATTTATGTTGTCATAACACTTTCTTGTGGAGGCTTTCATTACGTATGAAGATGCACGATGAAGAGATTCGTAGGTCGATCTCACCAGAAGATGGCGGCTCATTCCCACTGGATTGCAGATTTTTTGTTTTAAAACGACGTTCAGGTGAACGCAGAGTACGTTTTGGGCGAAACCAGGCTGATCCTTCATTCATCATCTAACGAACGTCATTAGAGCTATATCTCAGTCCTGCAAAAGTCTTAAGTTAAGACTAATTTAAGAAGGCTATATGTCTTTATCCCCTATGTAATATATGATCGTAACTAAAATATATAGATATAAAATGATTCGGCTGGCCATCAAAATCCAGCTACTTCATATTAAAGCAAACGTCGGCAAAATAACGGAAATCAGCCGTCGTCGTCTCGTGAAATCGACCTACAAATATCCTCATCATGCACTTTTATACGAAATAAAATTCCTCACAATTATACGTTAAAACGGCAAAAATTATCCTGCATAAAATGACTCAGGTTTACAACATTTTAGAAGTGAGTTAACCTCGTTTTAGCAACTTGGTCTTCTCAGTACGAATAAATTTGACGGACCTTGTCCGAAGTCCTCTGCAATAGTAACTATCATAACCATCAGACCGTAGATTTGGTGCATTGTCAAACGTTTCGCCGGCATCGTAGTCGGCATCATCAGTGAGTCTTTCCATTCTCAGCACCAAGCTACAACTCGTCAAAGAGACAAATGGATTTAATCATTTTACTGTCCTGGCTTATCTATCCACTCCTTAACCTCTTATTCCACTCCCGCCCGATTTCCGATTTGTTTACATTCAACTCGTCAAAAGGTTTGTACTTTTTTAGTAAATGTTGTATGGCCTCATCACACCTACTATTCACCTAGACTCTCTTTTTCGATCGGCTAATCCGACTCGACCCTCCTATCCGGGTCTCCTATGTCCCGTAGATTCGTTTCTTATCTTTCTGGTTGACCGATTCCATTCGGTTCCAGTCCCAGGGTGCGTTTTATTCCAGGCGCTTTTTCTCAAGGCCTTAGAAGCATGCACCGAGCAGAGCGCATAAGCTCTGTTTCCCATGCTTGCAGATATTAGCCTTTGCCTTCACGGGTAGTCTCCTTCATTAAAACCGTGTTGAATGAACAAACTGTGGACGCCTGCTGCATTTCATGTGGATTTCTAGTACATTTAGGCCATAATGCCGAACTTCTGTGACGGTTATACTTAGCTGTCTCGAGTCACGCGACCGCCAGGCTCCAAAGGTGATAACTACCATAACAGAAGACTTCGGACAAAGTGAGTCTAACTATATCGCCCTGCAAACACGACTAAGTTGCAAAACTAGGTCAAGCTACTTTTATATATCGAAAGAAGATTGCGACCATACAAAAAGTTACACCATCCATATCCTTGATTATAATATTTAATTTTTTAAATATACTACTTAAAATAGTATCAATATTAATCGAACGAGTTTTGGCATAGTCGTGTCAGGTTATTGTGGAGAGAAAAATCAGAGCAAGTGATGCATCGTCATATGCTTTCATTGAGGCTTAGTGTGTATGTTTGCGTTTATGTTTATACGTTATTTTTCCACATTAGTTATTGCTTTGAGATATGATTAATATGAGATGTATTCACCCAATTTCGTTTAAGGTGATGAAGGACTGGTAGAAGAATAATTTTCCCACAATGATTCCGGTTGAGTAGAGCTGACGTTTCCATTGAATTTCCATTACGCCCTGACCGAGACGGCGTAAGTCCGTAAATTAGAGCCATCACTGAGTGGACAACTTGAGTCGCCTTCTTTCGGATAAAAACTAGACATCCACTCTCTCCTTTAACCTATCATTCAATACATTCCATGTATTTCCTACTCTATTAATTTCAATAGCTTCTCTTATCTTCCATTTAACAGCAGACGTAACATAATCAGCAATCCTACTAGTTTAAGACCATTCTATCTCATGTCCAGTCTCTGGCATGTGTTCGGCCACCTCCTGACTACTAGAGTTATCCCCCTTTACACGCATTGTTGTGTTCCCCTAGTCTCTGTAGAATGGGCCTGCATGCCTCACCAACATAAGGCCGACCACAGGAGCACACAATCTTGTAGCAGTCGTTAATGGATCACTTTTCTCTCTGAAAGATGGCATAATCAAAGAAAGTGTGAGAGTTTCTTTAAAAACTGTTCTTGTTCCCCACTTTCGCGCTAGTCCGTCTATCTTTCTAAAAAGTAAACATGGCGCCAAAATTAGGACATTTGATAACGTCTAACTTTGGCTAAATAGTCTCCGTCTGAAAATTTATTTCTCGGTAACGATACCTTAATTTCAATTAGGCACAAAATATAATTATTTTCCAAGAATAAAACTATCGGCTGTTTCAACTTTAGTCAAATGATTGCTGTCGGCTAGTCTCACACTCCTAACAATCATTGACTTCAAAATTCCAAACAGATTTTGGCTTCCTCTAAAAATCTTGTTCTAGTTTACCTTTTATATAACAAGCAGAACATCCAAGAAGAGGTAAGGACTTGTTTACTTCTATTTGGAAACAATATAA